GGGATCGGGTTGACGCGATTAGTTTGAACGGCCGGTCGTTCTTTCACCCGGGACTATGCGGCGCGGAACGGTCGCGTCTTTTCCGCAAGGGATTAGATTTTCCCTCGCCGCTCGTTTCCCACCGTTTCACCCGGCCGGTTTTCCCTTTTTTTTATTCATCGCACCGCTGCGCCTCTCTCATTCGGTCCTATTTCGCGTGGCAGTTAACTTGGCGCGGTACGTTACGCTGCCTCTCTCTGTCCAAGTCGATTTGCCAGGGCCATCGTCACGCTCGAAAACATGCCGCGCGTTGCAACGCGTCACGGGAATTTCCAACGAATTTTCGTATTTTCATCGATACACTCGTGTCGACGTTGCACGCGGGAAACAGCAGCGTACACACGCGGCTGCTACCTGCCTCGCGTCGCCTCGTCCAGGACACGAAATTGCCGGGTACGGTTGACGGGCAGTCGTTACGATGCTTTCCGAGTTGTAAATTGTAAACTGATCGAGGACGAAGAATAATTATGTCGATGAGTTTATCGAATTAAATGAGTTTATCGAGAGTCGGAGTATATCGAACCTCGTGTGTCCAATGATAGACGTATAAGAATAGACGGTCGTGGGTATTCTATGGCTCGTCGGAACGTTTAAATGATAACATTGTATTGGACACGAGGTAATGAACAGCTCCAAAGAGAAATTACGGTGCTGGTGAATTAGAAAATGAAAACGTTAGATATCGACCAGTTTCCTGATAAGTCCTACAACAAACTGACGATTCATAATGCCGGACTATTAATTTGCCTATCGGTACAATTTCCTTTCATTATCCATCGTTCACTCTATTTACCGTCGTGTCGATCGAATGACATTTTAATAAGATATCAACCCGATTGCGGTTAATATAATATTATTATACGCAGCGAGAACAGAATTGATTTTGCGACAATGTAAACAGGTGAACCCGTTTGTAGTCCATTTCCCTGTTGACCCGACACAGAAATTTCGTCGGTCTTTAAATAAATGATAAGATTCTTTAATCGTTGTCTTCGAATCGAAAAACGTAATGAAATATCGACTAGATTTTTTATCACGCATTATTTATTATCCTGCAAATTACAGGCGTCAATTATTCAAATCAGAGTAATTGGCGGAAAACAAATGATCCTGTGTAACGAGACGGAATATTTTCGAAACGCAAATAAAAAGACTGACCGAGACTTTATTCCAGTGGGCGATTAATAAATTAATAGGTAAAGGGACGAGCCCGTTGGCTGGGCAACGTCCGGGCAAAGCTGGTCGAACAATTATCTCAGATAAACATTTGCCGTAAATAATTCGAATAACGGACAGGTACGAAGCCACTCGTAACGCGTCGTCATTAAAAGCAACGAGCTAAAAGAACCAACGGGGATCCAGCGTGCAGCGGCGCATAGGAACGATCCATTTAGATAATCTATACGCGAATACGCGCGGCGGGCGTTGCAGCGTGCGCGGAGCCCGTGCCAACAGCTTGCAGCGATCGTTATATCCTCTATTTTGTTTTTTTTAACTCTCTTCTGCCGCGTTTCCATTCCAGCATCCCTTCGTTCTTTTGGTAACTACGTGCCCGAAAGAGGAGACCCGGCTTTCTTTCTTTCTTTCTTTCTTTCTTTCTTTCTCCCCCGCGCGCGCCAGAGACGCGTCACGATTCAGACGGTTGCCGTTCTCGCGATTCACTGGAAACGCGGAAACGGGTGCAGCGATTCGTCCGGCCTCGAAATTACATTCGATTCGATCCGGGACGATCCTATCTCGGCTATCGCTCTTTCCATCTACTCTCCATACGTGGCGTTGACTCGCAAACTCTCGCGATCCACCGCGGTTAAGCAAATTTGTCGTGAAACGGATTAACCCGTAATTACATCGAAATATACCTAAATAGCGACGGCGGTTTCAATGGACCCCCGTCTATTGTCCTATTCCATTCGCCGAATTAGAACTGTTTATTCCCATCGTTCTTTTTATTCCCCTCCTCCCTTCTGTGCACAACGTTGTGTCATCTCGAAACGCGGTTCGACGCAATCCGCCGCAGATCTGATTCTCGTGAAACGATTGAAATTTCGCAGTTACATGAAACAAAAGCTATTGCTGTCACCGTTTCTGCTTTTTTTTTTTTTTTTATCTGTGTATGTATGTTACGTATTACCCGTGCAAATGAAAACTGTGGAAAACGACTGACGAATCGGAGCACATGGCATTGTTCATATATTTCCATTCAATCGTCAAATAAAGTACTTAATTAGGTAAACAGATTTTTCTCGAAAATTTTTTAAAACATTCACGACGGAATTAAATGCGAGTAAATATTAACAATTGAACTGCAGTGTTTCTATTTATAAAATAATGTATTTCACACACCACGTCGGATGTACGAAAAAACGTGCAGTTCCATAGAATACGCAAGCAATTTATAACGGGAATTGTAACATTGTTTAAAAAAAACGGAAGATACGCGCGAAGTCGGAAGCTGGTCGGAGCGAACGTTAGGTCGCCCGTAAGGGTTGCTGCAGGTCGTTCGTTCCACGGCAGAGAGGCGAGGTTAAGTTAGGTGCGATCTCTTATCAGTAGCGTGGAGTAGTCTGGCCACGTTCTTCTTATCTCTCTCTCCCCTCCCTCCACCGTTGAACTTACGACCCGACCTATACATACGTGCGATACATATTGTCGTTCGGATCTGAGAACCTGCCAGCTTTGCCCATAGAACCCGGGCGACCGTCGGTCGTCGCCGAGGGTCCGACCGTTCTTCCCGTCAGTTCCGTCGCCGAATCGTCCCGTCCTTTCCACTTTTATAGCTCTCCGAGAGACCGTGCTCTCAAATCACTCGCCGCACACCGCCGTTAAGAATCTCGCGTAAAACCATTGCTTTATCATATGAAGCGAGATAAGCCGACGACGTAATCGCGCTTTTTTCATGCCCTTCACCAATGCGAAGATCGAGAGTGAACGATCGCTCCTACGTTCGACGACGGAGTCATCGTTTAAAACTTGACTTGACGAGACACGATGATTCGTTAACCGGGACGGAGTTTAATCTCCGCTGGACTCGATTTGATCCCCGGATTTCCTATTTCCTGACCGCGCTCGTTAAATCGTATTAGGCGTCCTCCTACTGTAAACAGAATTTTAAAACCGAGCAAAATCCCTCTTGCGTATATACTTACAAAAAGAATGTTCGCTCTTTACCGGATCGCTTCGTTAAACAAACTACCGGGCGGAAGGCCACTCCCGGTTTTTCGTGATCTGCCATGCAAAGAGGAAAATAAGAGACGAAGAGAGAGAGAGAGATTGGTAGAGAGGTGACGCATAGGTGAGCGCTGAAAATGTGCGCGATCCTTGAGCCGGGATCCGGTTTCTATACCACTTGGAAAAACTCAGTCAGCCGGACGAGCCGAGAAGCGAAAGTTTTCGAACTCGATGCGTCGGAGTGCCGTAGAGGCAACGAACGAGATTGAAATACCCTCGTTTCTGTTTCCTCCTCCTCGACCCCGAACCGCGTCTTCTTTTCTAGTTATTCCTCGTCTTCTTCTTCTTCTTCTTCTTCTTTCGGTTCTTTCTCTCGTCTTTCTACTTTCCGTTCTTGCTCGTCGGATTCCCGTCGCTTTTATCCCGCCGGTGCAGGACGAGACGCCACGTCCGATTTGTAATTCAGCGAGTTCGAAGGGGGGCAGGCCGGCATGTGGGGTGTAGAGTTGACGTTGCGTTCAAAAAGTACCGTGGATAAAGTTTGAATGCGAAAGTTACGGGCCGCTTATGCGAGCGGCGGCGAGCAGGTCGTCGAGGAAAGGGTGCCGGTGTGGGTGCCTCCCGCGATATAAAACCGGCGCACATGATGGGGATCTGTCTTCGATAGGCAGCTATAAGTACGTTAACTTTCCCGTTTATGTTCGACGAACGAGAAACACCGAGGATTCCGGTGAGAAGAGTCAGCTGGAACATCTCGCGCCTCGCCCTTCCGACTCTTTTACTATTTTCTTCCCGGCAAGTTTTCCACGCAGATTTCGTTTGTTACACGTACGCGCCGTCGGTAATCGTGTTTCGCTTTTATGCTCATCTTCCCGTCGCTGTTCGCGCGTCGGAACACGTGATAAATAATAAACGGATTTTTATGCAAAATAAATAAAATGCATTTGGCATGAAATCTTTTCTATTCATTGCCGATTTTTTATATAAATTTAACAATCGAACGGCTTACTCCGTTTCAACGCGGCTTAAGATTCTTCAATTCCAGATAATAAGTTTCATTAGTATTCAGATAAAATTCATCCGTTCGACCAGACCTCGATATTCTTTGGAAATAGCTTGCGTTATATCAGTGCATATTGAAACACATATGTCAGCCTTGCCTGCTCTCTTTTGCATTCGCATGGATTTCTTCCTCGCTCCGTTCCTTCCACTGGCTGTCAGCTGCCAAAGTGAAAATTCCTCGGCTCAAAAATAGCGGAAAATTCGCGATCGTGTCATAAACTCAGCCGAGCGCAAGGCCCCGGCGTCTTCCACCGTCATAAATTCGTTCATATCGCGTCGTACCTATTCCTCCGCGCACATATTATTTTTTCCCTTTACGAGTAGAGAATTTCGCCTAAGCGAATCCGACGGATTCATCGTTCAACACCAACCCTTGTTGTTGCAAAAATTTTTGCCAAGACTGAGCCGAGTTTTCAGACGCACGGGTAAACCGATCTGCCTACAGTGTCTGTTGAATCGTGGAGGAAGCTTCGTTAAAATATGCGGTAATAATATGCTGAGGGTCGATCGTGTATCCACGTTTCCCCGAGGCGAGGTTGCGGCCGGCCTTTCGCGGTAATTCGAATATCTGTGAAAATTAATTTAACCATTACGTCAAGGCGGGATAAAACCTGGAGAAGCTCGAAAATTCGTCACGTTTCTTTACTGCGTAATCCATTTCCGATTTACTTCCGCCGTTTCACAGAATTGCTTATTTATCGAATAACGATGGGATTCGTTTTCTGTTTCAGGATTGCGACAGAGGTCTGGTTCCACGGACGCACCGAGGAGCGGTGGTGAGTCTACGTTTATATTTCATATTTCATGATTCGCGCGAAGTTTGATAAATAAGGACGTCGGTTAATAACAGGCGTTGATACTTTTCTCGTTGCGTATGTTTCGCTGACAACAGCGATGAATGCAAGCGAAGGGGAAAAAGCTCGACGTGGCCGCGACACGTTTTCACGTAGAGAGGAGGAGGAGAGGCCGCGAGGGATCGAGCGGGGTAATAATTCGATTGGCCGTAAACGAGTAATCAAAGTTAAATTCGAAACGGAAAATTGGAACGAGGTGTGCCTTTAAACGGATGCATAGCGCGGTGAAAGAGCCGAGAGGACGGTTTAAACGTTAATTTTCCGAATAATATCTTTGCCCTGTTCGCGTTCGTTGGTTCGTTCGTTCGTTCGCCGGCGCTCATTAGCGTAATTGACGTAAGCCTCTCGATTAACGAGGGCATTTTGTAGCTGCGCGGGACAAGGAAAAATGAACGGGCCGCCGATAAATTTCCGGGCCGAGAATGGCAGCGAAATAAAGATGTTAAAGCGCGACTGTCAGCCTCATAAATCGTTGACTCGTTTCACCGGGACCCGATACTTTTAACGGTGCCGGTGTAAAACGCGTTCCGGGCAGCGACATTTTTCAAATACGCCGCTTCTACCAAATCTATCGTTCTACTTGAGCGCTCAAAACGTGCAACATTATGCATAATGCGACCGATGGTAAATAAACGTAGTTTCGTCTCAGCGATAGAGACGTTCGTACGATCAGAATGAAAAACGGTCCGCTTCTTTTCGTCGAAAGCTGCGATTTTTTTTTTCTAGTCTACCGAAAGGATGATAACAGCCGTCGAGTATTTGTGACGACTGATACGAATACGTGCGAATCGATCGAAGCATCGTGAGGAAGCGATCCGACGAATTTCGCACCTGAGTACTCGCAACGCGTGGGGAGGAAAAAGTTCAAACTTCTCCCTCACGCGACGAATATAGGTCGTATTTTCCACGATAAACGAAACACCGTTCGGTAAAAATAATCTGCACGGTTAAACAAGCCGAATTTAGCATGTTTCACGATGAAAATCCACATCTTTTCCTGTCCTGTTTGATCCAGACTCGATCGGTTCGGATCGGTAACATCGGGGAATTTGTATTCGAAAGCGTTGTCCATTTTGTATCTGAAACTACGACAGTTCAAATTCGCGTTTTATTATTCAGCTTATTTTCCGATCGCTCGTTAAATCAAACCGTGGCACCGGATCGGTTTTCGTTAGAAGAGGATTTAGAAATAATGCATTCCGTTGGCGGTGAAATCGTTTCGCCTGTGCGATTTTCATCAGACTAGGTATTAGCAACTGTTTCTCGGTTTTCACGTGCGGTCGATAAACTTTATTCCGTTAGTCGTGTAGCGACTCTGATTCTTTCGAATCGGGTTTTCCAAAGGTTGATTAACTCGTTTAATTGAAGGGTAGGTGTCTCCCGAGGGAAGACGAGGGAGAGAACTCGGGGGGGTGGAATGTTAAACGAGCCGACAGGGCTTTAATGGGAAGACAACGAAAGTTCGATCGGTCCTTCGCCGCGAAGCTGCAGCGTCGTCGATGAAAATCTGCCGTCCCGTGTACGGACGACCGCGTGTTCCGGGAAAGTTGGTGAATACGTTCACCGGTGACGAGGTCCTATCTATATACATGGTTCCCAAACAGTTTCGAGTAGATTATGAATTCGAAAGAAATAAAATTTTCTGAATTATCTCTTCACGCTTATTCGTTTCGAGAGGCGGTTTCATAAAACGCCCACGCCTCTCGTTTTCTCTTTCTCTCTCTCTCTCTCGACTCGACCGTTTCGAGAATTACGAGTGAGTGATTTCTGCGGTGGAGAGTCGTTGAAAACCGTGCCGCGGGCAACTATATAGATGACATGAATAATACCGCGCGGTAGGAAAAGAGCGCGACGCCAAACTCGGTTTGAATCTGACGCTTGTATCTAATTCTGTTTAGCGGATCGATCCAGATACTCGGACGTTTCGTGTCGTGCATGAAAGTTTAAATTATCCTGTCTACCGAGAGAGAGAGAGAGAGAGAGAGAGTGATACGGGGGAGACGGGAAGCATCCGTTTTCCTCCGGGGAAACGACGAGGCAGGGACTGGCCGAGTCTGATTAGTTCGCCAGTCCCTGACTCGTTTTATCTACTCTTCCGCTGTCCTCCTTTCCACGGTTTGGTAACTATCGTGCTTCCCTCGGAACCAGGAACGGTGCTAAGGTGTCGTAACGGCGGCCTCTCCCTTTTCGGGCCGGCTAACCAGAAACTGCGGCGACCAGAGAGAGAGGAACGGAGGTCCCACAGACGAACCTATCTCGGATTCTGTTTCCAATATCCTTTTGCTTCGGTGACTCGCGTCTCTTTCCCCTCTTTGATTCGCGTCTACTTCGCGGGCTCCGTTTCTGTAATCCTTTATCTTATCGGCTGGCATCCCAGTGTTTAATCAGACTCCTCCTCCTCCTCCTCCTCCTCCTCCGCTCGACGAATCGGTCTCGCGTCTGTTCCTAGAGATCTGTATCAATTTTCGTAATGAGTTCCTCCGAGGCTCGAAACTGCTTTATAGATATATACTCCTCGTTGAATGACCTGCGGGGACAATACGTACGGTTTAATTAATTCGACGCGCGAGACTCCGTCTTCTTCGTCGCATCCAGCAATAATATTCGCCTGTTTATTAAGACACGCGATAATCGATGAATTAATTAATTAATTTCAACGTCTCGAACGGGTTTCACTGATAATGATTCGCGTTCCGTCCTCTCGTTTCTGGATGCTCTCTCCCGCTTTGCCGTTTATTCATGTCCCGGCTTAATGCGAACGACGTATTTATTTATCGCCGGGCAAGGGAGTTTCATACGAGCGCCACCGGAAATCGGAACGAAATTGCGTTCGCGTCAAAAGGCATACGATAAAATATCACATCGGAGCACCTTTTAACGTCGATCCAGCCCGGCCACGGTGAAATCGTGGCGAACATAAACGAAATGGAAACGGGATCCGTTTAGTTTTATCTGCTCGTACATACGCCGCCAAAGTATTTCTATAATTGCTGCCAAACGGACGTACCTAGGAATTGAAAGTTCATTTGACGACTCCTAATCTGCTTTCCCTATCCACGGTTCTAATTCTTTGCTATCATCTCCCGCGAGGTCAACCGTGAATTTTACGCGTTTACCAGGAAATTGTATAGAAAATATGAACAATTTTTATGGTTGTATAAATCTTAAGATTTCTGCTAAAAGTTTAAGGCGTGTAATAAAAAACTGCGTCCCGTATTTGAAACAATTAACTTTTAGTTCTGTTGAAATTTCAATATTTTGTTATTGTTTTTATGTAAATTTTAAGAGATAAAAATGTACATTTTTTTTACTAGTTTATTTTGTGTAAAAATACGCGATTTATAAGAACCTCTTTCGGTTCGTTGGGAAAGCTGTTTCAAAGGAATAGACAGTTGTGCAGGTGTAATTAGTCTGAACGCGACACGACATTTCACTCGGAAGTTGTTACATATTAGGCAAGTTACGAGATGATCGAGGCGCGAGAAACGGTTGGCTCGCGGCGCGCAACAGAGGAGCTACGTCGAAAGAATCCGTTAAAATACGGTAAGGAGGACGAAAAGTTGGCAACTCCTCCTCCTCCTCCTCCTCCTTCTCCTTCTCTTCCATTCGGTTCTCCAGCGAGAAGCGCCTCGCGTTTTACGTTGATTCGCGTCGGAGCGGCAAGTATTGTCGGTAGCAGATGCAGAGAAGCGACATTCTGTAGAGTTTCTGCGATTCGATTTGAATCTCGTAATACCGAAGTTTGCAAAGTTCACGGAAGTCGAGATAATTACGGGTGCCGCGTTGCCTCCCGTGGCAGCGCGCGAGCTCCCGGTCGCTTTTTAACTATCGTCGAGCAGCGGCCGTCGACGTAAAAAGAAACATACTTAAACGTTGGCAATAGTGATACGTCACTTGTTTATTAGATAGACATTGGCAATTAGGGGACGGCGTGGAGATGAATCGAGTGCATAATTAGTATTCTTTGGTTGCCACGGAAGCGGTCGCGTCGTCGATGGCCGTCGAGACCGACTTGGCTCTGGCGCACCTTGCCGCCGTGCTATTTAATATCCCCGAGGAGAAGTATACAGTTTACTATACCGTAAGGACGAAACTTAATTAGCAAAGTGGCTCGTCATCTTCTCTCAGGCCTCGAAACTAAATCCGTTTAATACACTTATCTTTGTTGCCGCAGCAACAGAAAGCATTTGAAATCCGTTTAATATACTTATCTTTGTTTCTGCAGCTACGGGAAAGCGTTTCGGCTTTTAACGTGTATTAAGTTACACGCGAAAGCGAAAGGACGGCTATACGGAGCACTGTTTCCCGTGTAATCTTATTAGCGCCGCGAAATTAAGTGCGCCAGTCTTTTCATACGTTTTTTTTCCCCTCAGCTTTCCTTTGTTCCGGTACCTTTTCTTCGGACCGTGTCAGACGCCTACTTCGCTACTTCATCGTTTCCGTCCTCGCCTCTTCTCTCGACGTCGAAACGATTTCGCGTTCGGAAGTACAGACGAGAACGATTAATCGTTTTTTGACGAACGGAATTATAAGTAAATCTCGTCGGTCCGTGTTTGCTCGATGAAACGTGGGAAATGTAGAATATGAATCGTCGATATTATTTGGAAATCTAATATGGAGCGCGCGAAAGTAGTCGATCTGTTTAGAAATACGGGGAGTCGACTATCAGGAAAATGGACGCGGGAGAAGTGAAGTGGTAGTAACGAAAAAGCGACGAATAATTACGCGTCACGATCGAAACAGCCGTCCCGCGCCCCGACGTCCCCCGTCCCTCGGCGACGGGTCTTAATTTCATGACGAGAGATCTAATTTGTTCGCGTCAATTTACCACGCTCGAGCATTTCTCTGTGTTTACGTTGATTCACGTAAAATGGCATCCGATCTCGTTGGCCGCGATGGCATCGCAGTACTCCGACGGAAAA